CCCAGTGTCTTTATATTCTACAGATAACTTCCATTTCAGTAAATTTCAGTTGAGTCTCATTAATTTACATAAAGTTTTTGATGTTAACTCGGAAAGCATATGATTCCAAAAAGGATATTATAAAAGCTCGGAAGTGATGAAGTGAAACTCAGCACTGATTTTTAAGACCAATGCTGATGAACTGTAGCCCTTATTCAACCCCTCCTATGCTCCAGAGTATGACATTTGCTGACTTTAGACTTTATATGATCTAAGAGGAAGCTGTTTTCATATTTATTGGAGTAGTTATTATTTTCTTGTTTTCCCTGAGTTCACTATTTACCCTTATTTCCCCTAGACTTATTTTCACTCAGATAGTTGCTATCTATGCATATACCCACTGAATGGTTAGAGAATCCAACAGCTTTGCATTTGCTCTTGTTAAAGAGGTTTTTCTTCCCCTTTCACTGTATTGCAGTAGTTCTGTGTCAGGGCTACCCAACAGAACTTTCTGTGACAACGGAAATGGTCTGTATCTGCACTGTCCAGTATGGTGGCCACAGGTAGCTACTGAGCATTTGAAATGTGGCTTTGTGACCGAGTATCTAAATTCTTAATGTTATTTATTTTTAGTAATTTAAAGGTAATGTCCACATGTGGCTAGTGGCTACCGTTATTGGGCAGTACAGTTCTACAGAGTATCATCCAGCATTTGTGAGCATTTCAGTTACATGAGCACATTGAGTGCTTTCATTCTGTTAGACCTGAAAACAAAGTCTGCCTCCAAGGGAAGTCATAAAAACATGAGTATTAATTGAATATATTTGATGTTGAAACTCATTTTTTTCTATTTGAATTGTTGGTATTACCAGCATATCTTTCCATCTGTCTCTGTACTATCAATGTAGCAGATTGAGCAGCTGAAAAGGACATTTTTATCTTTTTTCTTATAAATATGAATGTTAGTTTGTATAGAACAGAAAAAATTAACATTGTAAACGCATGATTTTGCACCATATAATTGGTGCTTGTGTTCATTGTTCAAGTGACTTATTTTGTGCATTATTTCTCAAAAGTGTTAAATTTTGAAACTTCGGTGTTCTGGAAAACAGCTCTCTTTCCTTCACAACCGCATCAGGCTTCCACTTAGCCTTTCCAGATATAAAACTAGATTGCCACTAACACCCTGGTGCACATATACGTGCACTTACTGCAAGACGTAAGTGGGCTAAATTTAACTTATGTTTGCATTGCTAATTATGAAATTGCAGTAAATTAAGTGAAAGCCCATTTGATGAAAACATAGGGTTGTCTGTTCTTTCTACCTAAAATGTTTCATTAAACATATCAGACTTTTTTGCTTTTCTTCATAACTTGATTAAAGAGGTTTGTCAAAATTTGTCTTATTTTGCTTTTCTGTAGAAGCTGCCAAATTTGTCGTCTTTGGTGGTTGCCTTGTTTTGAGGAGATTGGTCTTTTCTGAAGCCTTAGCATTTATAGGCTTTACATGCTGTCAGGGACCTTTCCAGGTGTTTACTGCTCAACCTGTACCCTGCACAGAACACAGTGCTAACTGCCTCTTTGGCTCTCAATAGATACTTAACGGCAACTATCTCTGGTGTATGAGGGCAAATCTCACCTAGTCTTTAAAAAAAGATTCTTGTACATTAAGTAAACACACTGATCAGAAGATGAAGTACTCTATCAATACTAACTGCTAATTGGTGTCATTTGATTCATTTTTCCTGTGCTCATTTTTAGTGATTGCCATTGATATTGATCCTGTTAAGATTGATCTTGCTCGCAATAATGCAGAAGTTTATGGGGTAGCAGACAAGGTAGAGTTCATGTGTGGCGATTTCCTGCAGCTGGCTCCTGTGTTAAGGGCTGATGTTGTGTTCCTCAGCCCCCCGTGGGGAGGGCCAGACTACGCTACTGCAGAGACCTTTGACATTCAGACGATGATGTCTCCTGATGGATATCCTTTGAAAGTCCTAAGGGTTTGCTCAAACAGTGGTTGTGGAGAAGAAGGGGTGTGTGTGTATTTGAGAGAGAAATTAGTGAAGAGGAGAGAAGCTAAGAGCATTTGATAGGTCCTGGTTTGTTTTACATAAAAAGCAACTATGTAAAAGTTAACTGGTGGTGGATCTCCAAAAGTTACAGCAAATGTGAGGTATATTTCCTTAAGTTTCTTTCCACTTTTACCAGTACAAATCAAGAGCTGGAGAGCATTAATTGTTTGGAATTATTGTCTGGAAAATTTCCTAGAGACCTGACCCTAAAGTCTGGGTGACTATCCCTTAACTATTCTTCCATTCACACTTTTGCTAATTTTCTGCGTAGCTACAAATTTTTCCTGTTACTCTTCCAAGATACTGAAGCAAGCCCTTATTCCATAAAGAATAGAATTTGTATTATTTGTCCCTTTATCTCTGCTCCCCAGAGGAATCATCTCTTTGACTTTAACAGGAAACATATTTCTAAATTGCTAATTAAAATTTAGAATGTACACTACTTCTTACTGGAAAGAGGCGGTATTGTACTTTCCTGTTCCATTTGTACATTAACTAGGAAATGACAGGAAGAGAAAGAGTATGTATTTTCTGACTTTGTTCCCTTCCACTAGGATAAATGAAAAATAGGTTTAACTTCTGCCCTGGCCTGGTGGCTCGGTTGGAGCATTGTCCCTTACACCAAAAAAAAAAGGTTGTGGGTTCAATTCTCAGTCAGGGCACAATCTCCAGCAAGGGCATGTACAGGAGGCAACTGATCAATGTCACTACCACCCCTTTCTCTAAAATCAATTAAAAAACATATCCTAGGGTGAGGGTTTAAAAAAAAAAAGGGCCCTGACCATATGGCTCAGTTTGTTGGAGCATCATCCTGTATATCAAGGTGGTGGGTTCAGTTCCTGGTCACATGCCCAAGTTGCCGTTTTGATCCCCGGAGGGAACAAATGCATAAGGCAACTTATGAATGTTTCTCTCTCTCTCCCTCTCTCTCTCTCCCTCTCTCCCTCTCTCCCTCTCCCTCTCCCTCTCCCTCTCCCTCCCTCTCTCTCTCCCTCCCTCCCTCCGCACCTCCCCCCTGTCCCCCTTCCTCTGTCTGAAGTCAATTTAAAAAAATGGGTTTAACCTCTCACCTATCAGGGACAATGTGTTGCTGAATTACAAAAGCAGCTACTTAATTCTCTTAGGTTCCATTACAGGATTTAAATGTGTGCTTTGTTATTACATATTAAAAATACATTTGGGTTATGATATAAGTAAAGAACTTAATCTCTGATCAGAAATTAACTGCTGTTTTTGTCACTTTTCCTTAACTGTTGTCCACCTTTGAAATTTTCAGACTTTCTCAGAAGATCACTAATAATATTGTTTATTTTCTTCCAAGAAATGCTGATGTTGACCAGGTAAGCCCTTACTGAAAAACTCCCATGAGCCTTTGGCATAACTGTTAAAAGAATGGGTAAAAAAAGATACAGGGTATTGCTTTAATTGAGAACGCATTTATGAGATGTCCTTGGCTTTTTTACTATTACTAGAAAACTAGAAGTGTTTGCCAGTTAAATCCATACCTATTTCATTCTCTTCATCTCTACCTTTCCTGGCATACAGAAACGTAAACAGCATGCTGGCTTTTAATTGTATGTCCTGAAAGAATGATTAAATGTGTTGTGTTTGTATGCACGCACCTAAGTTAGCAGGATCTGTCTCTACTGAAACCTACGTTGAGAATAGAAGCTTCAGGTATTCCTGAAAATAGTCACCTAAGTAGAAATATAGACAGATAAAATCTTAATTTGACCAGTATCAATTTCGGCAATAGTCTTGGGGTATGGTCCACTTAACTAACATTAAAATGTCCTTATTAGGTTCTTACCGTAAACACTTATTTTAATCATGTTTTTTTTTCCCTAGTAGAATAGGATCTAGTATAAAGAGTGCCTCATAAAGATGTGATGGTATCCTTATTTCATGTGTGTGTTGAATTTTTAATAAACACTTACTACATATTGCCTTGTGCTATACATCTGTTAAATCTTTTGTCTTTTGTATTCTGAATTTTACTACAACGTTCCCGGTGTGGGTTTTTCCTTTCTCTCCTGTTTGACTCTCTGAGAAGTGACCCTGTCGCTCTGAGCTTTTTCTTCTCCAGAAATCGTCTCCATTATTTGTTCAACTGTGTTCTCCTTACCGTCTTTTTTCCTTTCTCTGGGACGTCTGATATGTGGGTGTTCGTCTTCCTCAACTGCGTTTTCTGGCATTCTGTCTCCTTTTCTTTCTGAGAGGCGGCCCCAATCTGCTCTTTCAGCTGGTTCGTTCCTCAGGTATATCCAGAGTGTTACCTACCCCTCTGTTTTGGTTTTTAGTTCAATCATATTCTTTATTATTTCTGTACTTCTTGCTTTCATTTGCATTCTAATATTATTATAAGAAGTTTAAATTCTCAGCCTGTCTTATCCTCTGGGCATGCAGTTTGATAAAATTTATAATCCCGTTTGTTTTCCTTCCATGAAGTGCCTGTGATCCTCAGAAGGCCTCCCGGGTACTAGCAATTCTCAAGCAATGAAAAGGGTAAAGGGCAGGCCAGAATCCAGGGAGTGCCAAGCTGGCTGCACTTCAGAATCACTGGGGACACTTGTAAGAAACTGTGACTATGCTGGCAGCCCCCACCCCAGAAATTGATCTAATCGTGTGTAAAGCCTCTGGTCCCATTGTAATGTGTAGGCTGTGTCAGCCTCACTGATAACTTAAAGGGAGGAAGGTGGGTAAGCTCTGGGGTTGCTGACCCAGGCACCACAGACTGGTCACGCGTCACAAACCATGGCTCCCCTCCCCCCACCTTTGTGGAGCGGCTGGGCAAAAGCAGGGTTTAAAGACTGTACTCTTTCATCTTAGCATAATTCATCCACTCTAGGGATCTAGGGATGGAGGAGGGAGAGAGCAGCCGCCAGGGTTAGTTCCCACCTGTTTCTCCGAGCTGCTCACAGCAGAACGCCTTTTTATGTTGCCCTAACTACTCCCGAACGCAGACCAGAGTTCAGTCTCTGCAAGTGAGGCATCGCACGTTGTTCAGACAAGGCGAGGGTCATGGGGAGGCAGGAGCAAAAGCAGAAGTTCAGGTTTCTTGTTTTCCTTCTTCCTGTTCTGTCTCCCAGAGGCACGACCCTCAAGCCTCTAAATATACACACATTCAGACCATCCCAGGTCTCCGGAAATTTTTGTTTGGTGGTTTCCTTGTAGTGTCTCCAGAGATACCTTACAGGAGTCAGCAATCATGCTAGTTCAGCATCTTCCTAGGGATTATAAGATAGATGCATAAGTAGTAATAATAATGCAGACTTTTCTTAAGAAAGGTAGAGATCAAATGCGCTGGCTTTCTGTGGATGGTTTCAGGAAAGGCCCTGGGTAATATAGCATGTAAACTGGACTTGAAAGTTCAAGGTCAGCTTTTAGGAGCTGAGCATAAGGTGGAAGGAATATTGATGACGTAGAAGTGGAAGTATGTGGGTGATGTTCAGGTAATGGGCTAAATAAAAGGCAGAATGGAGTTAATCTCAGCCCTGCACTTAACTAGCTTTCTGGTGGTAGTTCTGAGAATAAATGCACTAAGTGGGTAAAGCATTTATCACAGCACCTCTCATAAATCCTCAGTAAATCATGTGTCTATAACTTAGAAGATCCCATTATAAAATTGTAGAAAGAATGTAAATGTTACTAAGATTTTGAAGACGACCAACATGAAAAAATGACATATTTTCTCTAAAGGAAAGAATATTCAGCTTTAATATTTCTGAAGTGATAGAATTTAATTTGTAAACATACATCCCAGAATATAGATTTTGCTCTTCTTCCTGTCAGAAACCAGATAAACTTGCTTGTACTGGGCATATTTTTGTGTTTGTTATAATTTCCCGTCCTTGGCTTATCTACTTAGTCTTTGGAACACTGCTTCTCAGCTCTGGCTGCAAATTAGAATTACCTGAGTGGGGCTTTTTTAAGTAACGGTAAAATGTACATAAAATTTACCATAAGTCCTTTTTAAGCGTACAGTTCAGTGTCATTAAAAACATTCACATTATTTGTGCAACTGTCACCACCATCTCAAAACTTTGTCTCATCTTCCCAAACTGAAACTGTCACCATTAAACACTTACTCCCCATTACCCCCACCCACCTGCCTCTAGCAACCACCATTCTGCTCTCTGTTTCTATAAAATTTTGCCTCTTCTAAGTACCTCATACAGGTGGAATCTACAATGTCTGTCCTTTTGTGTCTAGTTTATTTCTCTTAACATAATCTCCTAAAGGCTCATCCTTTTTATAACAGGTATCAGAATGTCCTTCCTTTTTAAGGCTGAATAATATTTCATTGTCTGTAGATACCACATTTTGTTTATACATTTGTCCATCAGTGGGCATTTGGGGTTGTTTCCACCTTTTTGCTGTTGCTAATAATGCTACTGTGAACATGGGTATACAAAGCCTATTCTGGTCTCTGCTTTCAGTTCTCTTGGGTGTATACTCAGAAGTGGAATTGCTAGATCGTAAGGTAATTCTATGTTTAGTTTTTTGAGGAATCACTATACTGTTCTCCACAGCAGCTGAGCAATTTCACATTCCCACCAGCGATTCATAAGGGGTCCAGTTTCTCCACGTTTTTGCTAGTACTTGTTATTTTCTCATGGTGTGGTTTGATAATTGCTGTCCTAATGCCTGTGAAGTGATACCCCGCTGTGGTTTTGATTTGCATTTCCCTCGTGACTAGCGATGTTGACCCTCTCATGGGCATGTATTCTGGGTATCAGGCCCTTATCAGATACTGCTTTCCAGTATCTTCCCCTAGTCCATGGGCTGCCTGTTTATCCTCTTGATAGTGTTCTTGGCCTCACCAAAATTTCTGATTTTAAGGAAGTTCAGCTAATCTGTACTATCTGTGTATTGCCAGAGCTTTTGATATCATATCCAAGAAATCATTGTCAATTCCTTGTCATTTCTCGCTATGTTTTCTTCTAAGAGTTTTTTAGTTTTAGCTAAGTAGCTTTTTAAAACTACCGTTACCCTGGTCTACTGAGAAAGATTCTCTCTAATTTGTTTTCTGGGATGAGGCCCAAGCATACATTCTTTAAAACTCCCCAAGTGACTGTAATGTGCTCCCAGAGTTGAGATTCTCTGGGTTAAAAGAAGAGTAAATAAAAGTTAACAAGCCTGAACTCTTACTCTGTGAGTTAGAAGATGAAATTAGATCTTGCTGCCTGTCATCTGTTTATGAGCCATTGTAGCTAGACATTAGGCCTCTCAAGTACTGTATGCTGTACCAATTACAAGGAAAAGCACTGTTCCTTGCTTCATGCACTCTTATAAGAAATTTGATATGAAACCTAGTAATATCTGCTACTCATATCTGTGACTCAGAACGGCATTCTAAATTCCCAGATAAGGTTGAACCCATTGAGTCCATAATTCTTATTTTTCTCATGTAAATATTATGCTCCATAACTAGTCTCACAAGAGGCTATATGAGCTTTATATTAAATAATAGATAGGCTGTTTGGGTTACTTGAATGACAATAGCAAATTTACTGTTTCTTGTAAAAGTTACAGTGAGTAAATTTTTTTCTAAATTAACACTAGCCCAAGGAGAAAGTTAACTTTTTTCTTTAACTCTTGTTCTTGATTTACTTCAGAAACCTGCCAGAATTACAGTTGGTAGTTCATTCACATTTCCTACCTCTAGAGGGAGTAATGACACTAGAGAATAATAAAAGTAAAAAAGGAAATTGAGAGTTCAAGCACATTATATTATTTGGTATTGAATTTGGATCAAATTACAGTGGGAAATCAACTTTTCTTTTTAAAATGAATAAAATTTATATGTAGTGTTTTTTAAATAAGAGAAGAGATATTACTACAAGATTGAGAGAGAGCAGTTACAGAAAAGTAAACTTTTTGTTAAGGAATATTTAGAATTTTGCAACAATCTAAACTTAAACTTAAACAATCTAATCTAAACTTCGGGTTCCCAAAGCTTATGAGTCTGCCATTTAAAATTCAGGCTGCATTTTCTCCATAGAAATGTCTATGAAGAACATTAATTTCCCATCCAGGGAGGTTTGTACTCTGGATAATATTTCTATTTAGGGAGGTTACACTGAGTCTGGATGATATAAATCCCCTTCTCTCTCAACCTTTCTGTGTAGGAGATGAATCTGTTTTCTGTATCTAGTAAAATGTTTTTCTAGGTCCCCTATCACCTTTATCTCTTACTCCCTTTTTCTGTTTGAGGGTTATTCCAGGACATGTATCTCTTGTTATCTAAACTTTCATGATCAAACTCCAGAATTGAATGATTTAGAAATCTTTGTGTGATAGGCTCTTTGGACAGAAGTTGTATCTCCCTGAAATCACTATAGGAACTTGGGAACTGGTTAAATTCAATTCACAGAGCCCAGGGTAAATGTATTTTATCTACTTGATGCCTGTATCTTTTTTTTTTTTTTTTTAACTCCTCACACAAGGATATGTTTTTATTGATTTGGGGGGGACATTGATATAAGAGAGAAACATCAATCAGTTGCCTTCCATGCACACCCTGACCGGGAATCAAACCCACCACCTTTTGGTGTATGGGACCATGTTCCAGCCAGCTGAGCCAACCGGTCAGGGCAGTGCCTATATCTTAATATGTTTTGCTTCATTTCTTTCCTTCGACATCCGTAAAATTGCAGCCAATGCTAGCTTTGGATCTATCATGCTTTCCGACTGTGAAACCTTCTCTTTTAAATAATAAACATATATACTGTGTATAGAGGTCTCTGAACAGAGTAGAATGTTTTCGTCTCCCCAAGGAAGCTGCACAGCAATGGTGTCAGCAATCCCTGTGGGTGAAATTTTTAACAGGAGGAGCCCGTCATAGGCACACACAGGCATGGCAAGAGATGCGGGTCCTGGTCCTTGTTTGATTTCATAACTAAAATGTCTAGTCCCAGGAAATGATAACATTTGGATTTTTCAGGTCAGATTAATCTAAATTGCCTTTTTAAATAATGTATATGTACCAGTACAGAGAGCAGGGCAACACTGAACATCATCCCTAAGAATTGTGTTGAAAAATCAACTAGGAGGCCCTGCCATGACTAACCCCAGATAGGCATCATCATAACAGTTAGGCCAAACCCCACGTATTTTATTTTCTGATAAAGTGGGAAAATATTTACAAATTGGCCTAGTTTCATAGATAAAACTTACCTGTGATCAAGTTGTATCTTTACAGAAATTGAGGTTAAATTTAATGAAGAGATCTTATCCTTCTAACTGGTAGAGTTCTCGAGGCCCCCACTAGAGCCAATACATAGTGTCTAGGGAGGGAAGGTTCCTAATTGTAGCAGTCATGACACTTCTAATAGTTTATTAAGGAAGCCGGGAGGAGCGGAGGGCTTGTTTATAGGAAACACTTCTTAAACTTCCCATATAAGGGAACATTTGAATAATGAAAACTATAAATATGGAGACTAGTAGGTCTAATATTATTTGGGGAAACATTTTAAGTACAACTAAATTCAGTTTATTAGCCAGCTTCTCCCATGGAAAGTTTGCTGCTGAGCAATCAGAACAGTGTTCATTCTTGTACCACATGTATTGTCCTCCACAGGGCTGTGAAATGGGCCTTGTAAGTAGTGGGAAGGCCAAGTGCTTCTGATCACAAGTTTATATTTCCTTTTACACTGCCCAGAGAACATTTTCAGTACACGATATAGATGAAAAATAGAAGGGTGCCACATATAGTGCTACATACAAAACCTTTGCTGTTAGCCCAGGGCTTCCCAACTCGCTGGTCTGTTGTGCTTTATGTAGCTTGTTGAATTTAAGAACATTCCTCATGTTTCCAGTATCTGGTTCTGAAAACAGGGAAGAAACGAGACTTAGTGAACCTGGTTACTGGCAGCCTTCTCCTAAGAGTGATGCAGGAGAGCTTTTGATGCCCAGAAGAATTTTTTTGACCTTTCACCAGAGTGCCCCTGTTGACATGTTAGCTTATTAAAATCATATTTGCTGTAATCAGCAAGTAAATATTTGAAAAAGGAAACAGGAACTCAGATTTGTAGGAGCTTGAGGTATCATTCAAATTATACGAAAAGCTGTCATCAGAAAAATTAAGATTTATGCACTTAAGCATAGAAATCTCATTTCTGTTTACCATGTGCAGAGAAATGGAACCAATTTTATTTATTTAAATTTTTTTTTTTCTTCCCCCAATTCTTGCACAAGGATATTTTTCCATTGCGTTTCAGGGAGAGTAGAAGGGGAAAAGAGAGAGAGAAACATTGATGTGAGAGAGACACATCGATTGGTTGCCTCCTGCACGTGCCCTGACCACTGGGGCTGGGGATCGAGCCTGCAACCAAGGTACATGCCCTTGGCCTGAATCAAACCCGGGACCCTTTAGTCCACAGGCTGACACTCTAACCACTGAGCCAAACCAACTAGAAATGGAACTAATTTTAATAAATGTCTATATGTTTGAGTGTTGCTTGGTTTTCTACTGATAAAAAATAGTTTATTATTTTATCTCACAGAGATCTGTTCATTAGAAATATTTTTACCTGACTTATTTTCGTATAGTTATTATTTGGATATAGTGAAAGTGACCTGAGGGCAAAAAGGAATTGTGGGTAAGGCACTTGCCTGTTTGATGTTAGGTTTCTAATCACAGCTGATATTTCAGATCTGATACAGTAAGTATTTCTGCCAACAAATAGTGCATTAATACCTGGAAAGTAAGAGGTAACATTTGAGATGCCTTTATTTGAAGGACTTGAATACAAAGCCAAGTCGTCTTACTATTTGATGAAACATGTGAATGAAAGATTTATTTTGAAATCATGCTTGTGTATATGTGACTTCTTCTGTTCCTTTTTTTTAGGTGGCATCCTTAGCTGGGCCTGGAGGACAAGTGGAAATAGAACAAAACTTTCTTAATAATAAATTGAAGACAATCACTGCTTATTTTGGGAACCTGATTCGAAGACCAGTCTCTGAATCATAACTGAGATGGTGCAAGGACAGGACAGTCATGTGGTGGTCAGAACATTATTTAGATGAGACACTTGACATTTCTTTCTGTATTCACTGATCTGTTGACCCATAGTCTTATATCACCATATAAAGTGGAAACTTAGAGAAGATTAATGAGTATAAATGACGTAGTTAGAGATTTTTGAGTAATATTAACTATGTATATTACACATTAAGAGAGTGATATGGAAAAGGTAGATTTTCTCATTTGCTTAATGTCAGCATGTTTGTGTATATATGTGCCTATGTGTGTATTTTTTTAAATTTTATATGTTTTTGTTTAACATCTGTGTGTGTGTGTGTAAAAAACAATTATTGTGTTATTTTTAATACAGAGGAGATATAAAAAAAAGAATGAATGAGTTATAGTCTATCCACTCATTTAACTCATTGAAGTAAATAATGTTATACTTGTAAGGATAGAAACCTAAACAGTACTGAATGGTACCGAATGAAAAGTGAGTCTCCCACCCCCAGCCCCTACCTTCACTCATCTGTCTAAAGGTAGCGGTCCTCTAAATACCTTTGGAGTACGAAAGGGAATTGCAGGAGACTCGTTCCCCTCGTTGATGCCCTGTTCCATGTCCCCCTTTACCTACTGTGTTTTTCGCTAGTGTATCCTGGAGACCTTTCATGTCAGTACATAGGTACAGATCTACCTCATTCTTTTTAGCGCCCCTCTTGTATTTCATCTCCCCTGTATGCCGTAATTTAACCAGCTTCTGACTGGTGGACACTTGGACTGTTGTGGTTTTTTCGCAGTTACCAACGATTCTGAGCTATGATTAGAGTGCACGTTTCCTTCCACCTCCCCCGCTCTGGACATCATCAAGCACTTTAATTTTTGCCATCGTCTGTGTGAGAAAAGTAGTATCTTGCTGTTTGTGTTTCCTTAATTATGAATGAGATTTGACAATATTTTTATACATGTGCCTTTTTAAAATAGTTTTCCCCTTTTAAACTGACAGCTCCTATCTTTTATCGGTTTTTCTTTTGGATTGTTCTTCTTAGTCATATGTATGATTCTTGGTAAATTAAAAACCCCTTCTTTTGTTTGGTGATTTTTTTATTGTTTATTTTTTGCCATACATAGTTTTTCATTTTACCAGCCTCTTTTCTTTGCTGCATCTGGATTCATGCCCTTTGGAAAGATCTTTTCCACTCCCAAAATATAAGTACATTTATCCAAACTTTTTTGTAAAACTTGCTTCTTTTCATGTCTTTGCTCCACTTAGAATTTGCTTTTATTTTATAATCTCAGTGCTTTTAAATTTTCCATTACAAAAAAAAAAGTGAAGTATATTTTGTAATCTGGTTTATATTTTTTCTATTAAATGCAATGAAAGGAGGAAGAATGTGTGTTGCTTTGTTATTCGTGTAAAAATTGTGTTTGGTCATTTTTATAAGTAGGTAAAGAGACAGACAGGACTTTCTGGCTATTGGGGATCGGAGACCTTTGTCTTTTAATAATGTGAGCATGTTAAATGTTAAATAAAACATGGTTTGGGCTAGGGAGAGCTGGAAGAATTGGAATAAATTGAGGAATTTGCAGCGAGTACTGGAAAAAGTAACTATTAAGTCAAAAACACCTTTCTGGAGACTAGAGAAGCAATGGTAATTTTAGTGTCGAAATTTTATGGTGTAGGCCTGATTGCCTGCAGCACAGTAGCAATTGCACTGGTAATTAAAGATTAAGTTAATTTTTTATTTGCAACATCAAAATCTGTCAGTGTTCTCAGTTTTTATACTTTTCCATCATGAGCATTAATGTATATATCATAAACTTGTCACCGGTTTTTACATTATGGCAGCGTTGGTCATAAACAGTTCTCTCTGTGGCCCCTAGAACTAGAATGTGACTGACTTGACTTAGCCACTTGGGATGGAAAGTGGAGGGGTAAGAGCAGATTTCCAAAATCAGTTATTTTTTTAGTTTTTGTCACTTAACCTTTTATTCATACACTTTTTCCACAATACATTTTCTTGTATATTGTTCATAATAAAATTAATTTGTTTTCCTGAACATACATACATGACTTATATGAGTAGAACAGGAAGCCTGGCCAAGATTTAAACATTCCTGCCCACTAATCACACACAGATATAACTGATTTATAGACCTGTTTACAGGTTATTAGTGTTCCAAAAAGAAAAAAGCTTTATTATGCAACCCTGTGTTTAAATAAAATCTTACTGAGAAGTCATATGCAAAATGGGTGAAAAAGTAAAGCCCCTGGAGCTGCTTAGGATAAAACAAGTGAAGAAGCTAGCAGTCCTTGTACTAGTCCAACTTTTCTGTTGTTGTTAAACTTTTTAAAGCCATTTTTATAAAGTGATTGTGTATTTTAACAATTTAAGTCCAAGGTGAACACCCTGCCATGAGCCCTTGCTCTCCGCCCTCTTTCCCACATTTCCGTTCCCTTTCCCAGAGGCAGCCACAGTTAACAGTCTGGTATGTATCCTCTAGGACACTTCCCTATGCAATAAACGCTTGTGGGCACACAGTGGGATGGGATGGGATTATGTTATTTTTTAATTTAGTCTCCTACAAATTTTTCCACATTAGTACATACACATCTGAACTATCATATTTATCAATCACATAATACAAGTCTATGAGAATTTTTAACCATTACCCAACTATAAACATTCAAATTGTTCCCAGATACAGCAATTGCATAGTACTGCCGTTTATATTTCTAAGTAAGATGGGCTCCTAGCAGTGAAATTTTTAAATCAAAGGTCATGTTTTTTTTGTTTGTTTGTTTTTTCGGTATGTCAACATAGTTGCCCTCCAAAAACAGGTATTCTCACCAAGTATGCATGAAATGGGCCAATTTTCCTCACATCCTCAAAAACATTGCATATTTTCACTTCTTATTGTTACCAATTGGATTAGCAATAGTTATTTTAATTTGCATGTTCTGATTCCTAGTGAGGTATGAGCAATTTTTCATGTATTTATTACCCAGATCCATGTGTTAGTCCTCTAATTTTTTTTACCAAATGAATAGCTAATTGCTACATCGTTTTCTATTAAATAAACTAACCTCTATTAATTTGAAATTTAGTGTGTGTGTAATTCTGTTACTGGAATTTTTTGTTCCATCAATCATTTGTCCATAATGTGGATAGTTGTTAATTCCACCATCATTAGTCTCAAATTTTTCTTGGCACTTCCTGAACATGTTTACTTTTTTAGATGAGCTTTAATTTATTAAGTTCTATTTTTAAAATTCTTTGGGATTTGAAAGTTTTAGTTAAGAAAGAGTGGTATCTTCACACACTGACTCTTTCTACCCAAAGACTTGATATGTCCCTTCATTATTCTGATCTTTTATGTCTTTCAGTCAAGCTCTTCATCATTTTAGTTGTACAGTAGTCCTCCCTTATGCGTGGTTTCAGTAGTTGGAAAATATTAAATGGAAATTTTCAGAAATAATAAGTTTTAGTTGCTTGCCGTTCTGAATAGCATGATGAAATTTTGGGCCATCCTCTGTCCCACCTGCAGATAAGAAGGGACTACCAAATAAATCTTTCATATTTTTGGCCAAGTTTATTTCTTGGTATTTCATATTTTTTTGTTTGATTTTGAATGTGATCCTTTTGTTATTACATTTTATAACATGTTTTGTTTGTATGTAATAATGTTTTTAATTTCTTATATACAGTCACCTTACTGAACTCTTTTTAATGTTTCTTCTAATAGTTTTTCAATTGATTCACTTTGATTCTAAATAGGCAGTCGTGACATTCATATATGAGTTGTTCTCTTTGACAATATGTCTGCCTCTCAATTCCTATTCTTTCGTTATTGCATTGGTTCGGACCACCACGAATGTTATGATAAAGGCACTTGTTCCTTGCTTTTTATTTTGCAATGAAAGGTTAGAAGCATTTCTATTAAGTGTTAATGTAGCTTGCATTAAAATTAAGGTATTGCTTTTCTTTCCTAGAATTCTTTTGTTCTTATTTAACAAAGTACTAAATTACTTTTAAAATTTCAAATTATTCAACCATATCTGCATTTTACCATTAAATCCTACTTTACCGTAATGTGTCATTTTAGTTCACTACTATATTTCACTTGATAAGTTGACTTTGTTTTGTTTGTCTGTTTTTTGTGCACCTTGCCTGGTATTGGTATCAGAGTTAGACTGTTCTGACAGACTACTTTGGAAAGTCTTTCATTTTTTTCCTGTGTCCTCAATAACTTTAGTGTTACCTGTTCATTGAACCCTTGGTAGAACTCCAAGAAAATCAGGCCTGATACCTTTTTAAGCAAACCATTTTGATTATAGCATTTTTAATTTTTTTTTAATATATCTTTATTGATTTCAGAGAGAGGAAAGGAGAGGGAGAGAGAGAGATAGAAACATCAATGATGAAAGAGAGTCATTGATCGAGCCCGCAACCCTGGCATGTGCTCTGACCGGGAATTGAACCCCGATCGCCTGGATCCTAGGTCGATGCTCAACCACTGAGCCACACCCAGCTGGGCTAATTTATTTTTTTAAATTTTTATTTCTCAGTTACAGTTGAAATACAATATTAGATTAGTTTCAGATGTACAACATAATGATTAGACATTTATATCATTATGAAGTGATTATCCAGATAAGTCTAGTACCTATCTGATACCATGCATAGTTATCACAATATTATATATTCCCCATGCTGTACTATATATCCCCAAGACTGTTTTCATAACTGGCAATTTGCACATCCTAATCTGACTAGAAAAAATGGATGACATCAGCGTAAGTCGTCATCAGAGGTGGGGAACAGCTCAATGGGTTGACTTCAACTGTGGTAAAACAAAATGATGCAGTGCTCACGACGGGGAGGGACTGCTCTGTGTGCTCTGTAACATATATAAGAGCTCCATAAGGTAGATGGTATTTTGCTCATTTTTCCAGATCAAGAAACTGAAGTACTGGAAGACTTAAGTAATTTTTCCAAGTTCAAAGAGCCAGTTAGTGTAGCTGAGATTGGAACCCAATTCTGTGTCCAGAATTACTGTGTTCTTCTGCCCAAATGAGACTTAACAAACTGGGGACCCTCTGTGCCTTAGACCTACCAGGATAGAGATGAGTCTAGAAATAGAGCCTCCATCGCTGTCCCTCAGTTTCTCCATCTGAAGAGCATACTAATAACACCTATTTCATAAGGTGATCATGAGAATTAAGTGAGTTAAAGTTTGTAAAGTGTTCTGTGTGTCTGGCATGTGCTAAGGTCTAGCTAGTATTGGTTATTATTATTCTTAAGAAAAAATGAGAGATCAAAGGAGGTTTTCATGA